GGATATGAAATAGTCACATGCAGTCTCCGAACTAAACAAAATAGGGAAATGCAATCACTTCTCTCTCTCTCTATATATATTTTTTTTGCCGACCCTCTCTATATATTTTTCTTATGATTTAAATTAATCTTAAATTAAAATCTACAGAATTCAGGATTTTCTGAAAACGTATATCCTTTTGTTTGCTAAAAAATATTTAAGATATATTATTACATTTCTTAAATTAGTGCATGATTTATCGACACAAAGATATCTTTAGATCGCCTAATGCTTATATGATAATTCACGATGAGATTTGAATATTTCACTTTAGTCATGTTACACGCAGGGCCGTGCCTACATTTTCGGGACCCCAAGGCGAAATTCATATAAAAAAAAATTGTTTTTCAAATTTCAGAAACATTAAATATTTTAATTATATTAATGAATATACAACTTATTTAGTTATATTTTAATGTTTTAAATATTATATTCTTAGAGTAAAATATGTTAAACAGCAATATATATCTATCATTTTTTTCTAAAACTCATTATCCATTAGTTTCTTAAATTATCATAAATATTTTTACATTATTAATACTAGAAATATGTATAAAGCTTAACTAATGTAAAACAAATTGCCATATTGATTAAAGAAATTAGTGATATAGAACGAAAGAATTCTATAACAATTTGGAAATATCAACNTTCAANACAACGTAACAAGGGAATANGTCAAACTAAAAGTGGAAATATAAGTATGATTTTGCAACAGAATTTTGAAATTTCCATGATTAGGGGTCCTAATATTTAATGATCAAATGCGGGGCCCAAAACAAATGCCTTAATTTTTGTACATTAGGCACGAGCCTCGTTACACGTATATTAGCTGCACGTTAAGGTAATCGAGATTTGTGACCCAAAAATAAAAGAATAAAATAGCGTTTTAAATTTTCTTCATGGACAAAAACATGTAATCTCGTGCTCAATATTACGATCTGGTTTAAATTCGCATAATCCATGCTATATATT